AAAATATGTATCCCTTCGTTTTTCTTCTTGCTGCTCTCTAGAGGAATTTAGCTGCTGAGGCATATCGTGTTTATAACAATAAGAGCCTACGTCAAACCAGTATTCTTTTTAACAAAGCTCTTAAAATATATATATTAATATTTAAAATATATATTCAAGAGGATCATTCCAATCAGACTTCTAGGGATGTGACAGCGATCGATTTAAAGGACCAGTGTGTATGATTAGGAGGATTTATTGGAAGAAGTGGAATATATTATTCATAACTATGTTTTCATTACTGTACAATCATCTCGATGAATATTCACTTTAGCTTAGAATGAGTTTCATATCTACATATGGAGCAGGTTCTCTGCACTGAGTCCACCATGTTGCACCGCCATGTTTGTACAGAAGCTCAGAACGGACAAACCAAAAGCTGTCTGAGCCTTGTGTTTGTGCTTGAAGGCAGCTGTTACTCTCCAACACAAGTGGTTTTCAGTTGGTTGCAATCTGCGATCACACCGCTCACCGCTCACTACATCCTACACATATGGCCGTAGATATAGAAAGTGCAGGTTGCACTGGGGCTGTAGAGAGAACGGATCTGCCAATCAAACGATAGCAGCGGGTCTGACCCGTAACGGGTTGGCTGCTTCATACATCTGTGTTTAAAGAACTGACATTGAATAGCATTGTTTTATTTTTCATTTTATATTAAATAGTCAGTAGCCATCTATAACAAAACTATATGTGTATTGTGCATAAACTATAAAAACTATAGATAAACTCTTAAAAACTATCAACTAAACTATTAATTTAAATGAATATTTTCTTATTTTCTTTGGTATTCTTTGTTGTTAGATATGTGTTGATGATTGCTTGGTAATATGTATGTTGATGTTGTCCAATGTCAAGTCTCATGTGTATTTATTATCATGTGATTAGAGGATAGGACATCCGGTAGCTAGTTTAGCTGCAAAATCTGACGCAACTTAAGCTAAGCACATGGTGTGCTTAATGGTGTGAATGTGTGTGTGCTTTATTCTAGTAACTAGCATGCACTGGGGCCCGTTGACACTACCTTACGCCACTGCTTTATATAGTGTATAGTGTAAAGTATAGTGATGATTAAGCCTGCATGTAGAAGTGAATGAGTGTCTGCACATGTTTTGAGACTTTGCTATTGTAGAATGCTGTGTAAAAGTCAACACAAGAGGCACTGAAGCTGCTTCTACTCTAATTCCTCCTATTTCCTCCTCAATTGATGACTAAAGAGCAGCAACTTCAATCTCATATCTTGTGACATCTTTCATTGAGCTCAAAGTGGCAACACTCCCACTCACATAACATGACTCATGCGGTGCAAACACTGCCAGGAAACCGCCAGCTGTGTCACTGACCCTCTTAAATTAACCACAAACCACTGAGGGCTGAACATAGCCTCGGCCTTGAAGACAGATAAGTAAGCAGGAGGGTTACTGGATCCTTTAAAAGCAACATGATCAGGATTTTGTGTTAGATATTGTTCACTAATTAATTCCTACTTTCTATTGCACTTTAGCCTGCATGTGTCAGAAGTCCAACTATCTCAGCGGTTACAATGATGCATGATAACTTCAGGACAAAGTTTCTCCCCTTTTCTAGAAATTATTTTTGAAAATATGATGCATTTTTAAAAGGAATGATGAAAATGATGGTGTCATACTTATTTTGTACTGTTGCCATGGTGAAAGAAAAGTATCCAAAGCAAACATGAGGAAAGTGGAGAATAGGTTGGGAGCATGTCGATTGTACTCATCTAGATATAATATTGAATATCAATGAAATGTGAGAATGAAAATGCACATGTACAAGTGACACAATGTAAAGAATTATCCACATGCCTTAATCTTATCTTCACAACTGTGAAACCTGACAGAGATATTCTTAAAACGTACTATTTTCAGAGAGCCTTTTAGTTTCCTTCTTTTATTTCTTTTTGTTTTCTATTCTTGCCGTTGTAGTTTTTCTTTAGTAAATAGTTATATCAGTTTTCTTTAAACGTGACGTATGAATTATGTCTGTGTTCATTTAGCTGTGAAGCACTTTGTAACTTGGATTTTACAAAGTGCTCTATAATAAAGTTTATTATTATCATTACATATAAACTTAAATTATAGTAGTTTCTCTCTTGAAGCTGCTGTGAGAGACCAATTATTAAATTGTTTCGTTACCAAAAATACATTTGAATGATTATTTATCTTCTGTCTCAGACATTTGTCGCCCCAAACTTTACATCCATTCTCAACATTTACATAATAAAGACAATCCTTATCCCTCTTTTTTCTGGAAATAGGGAAAGCTTGAGTTCTTTTGGACATTAAGACCCACAGTAGACCAAAGAGGTCGCGTGCTGGACCTACTCCAGGAAAGGTTTCAAGCTTCCGTTTTTACACTTGAGTGAGCATCCATGCACTTTAAGCACATGTCCTTGTAAGTGTGCACGTCATCTTAAAGAGTGACACCAAACAGTGTTTCTCTGTGGAACCTGTAACCACACCCAACAGTGACGTCACTACAGCAAGGTGAGACGTAAAACCACTGGAGGTGAGCAAAAAGAAGACTTTTAGGTGATGTTAACCCACTCTTTCAATTCTTATATCCTGATATGATCAGGCAAACCAGAGGTAAGTTCATTGAAAAGGAATGTTACAAGGAAAGCAGAGTTCAGCTCCTGCTGCTGCATAAGTTATTTATAAAGGTTTAACAGTGGGAAATACATTTGCAGCTCACAGAAATGAATTAGCTGTAGCCATTAGAAATGAAAACCCTACTTTGAATCCACTTTGTCATAGTAAATTGATCCTTCGCCATCTCACATGCACTGTGATCCATTATTTTTAAAAACCTTATTGATTACACACACACCATTCTTTTGTTCTTTCTCTAACATAGCAGCACACATGCCCTCAGGATGCCACTGACCCTACTGCCGCCACTGAAGTGGAAGTGACTGATGCTGTAACAAAAGCTGTGACAGCGTTAATGGAGCCGAGAGTCTCTCAGCTGCAAAGTCTTCTGCTCCCGTTACATTGCCGCCATTTTAAACAGTTTCTTCTCAAATGCCCTTCTGTAGGTCAGAAAATTAGGCCACAGAAAGTTCAATGAACCCAGACGATGAACAGGCATTTGGCAGCCAATAAGCACAGGTTGTACAAAGTATGAATTTCTTCTTCCTTTGGCAGACTCGCTCGTAAGTGAGACTTGTTGTTTTTCCTGCAGCTTTTGCGGTGCTTTCTCAGCAGATGTGTTGCTCTGTGGAAGCAGTGAAAGATCAGTGACCCAGGACCTGTATCAAAGCAGCATTTTGTGATGCTGAAGCCAATCTGTTGTGATTGCAACAGTGCTCGGCGGTGCAGTCTTCTGCTCATTGTCTCAATCACTCCTGAATGTCACAAGTGTGGGCAGATTAACAACAGAAACCCGGAGACCGCTCCAGAGCTGCGTTTGCATATGTACAACAGGTTGTTACCAAGCTTTTTCAAACATTTTCAGTATTCCAAGCAAGCTGTTAAGATAATTGCTCATAGCTCACATGCTATTAATATTTCCATTTTGATGTTGTATATCATTATTTATTATAATCCCCTCCTTTTTATAATGGAATTGGGAACTGCAACTATGGTACCAATGTTGTGTCATGACCGTTATGACTTCTTTGCAAAATGCATACAATTTGGTTTTGAAGTAAACGAGAAAGTGGTGTGTCTCCCCCACTTATTGGAAAGGGATTTAAAAAATGATTATTACATTATTATGTTTTTTCAATTATAACCAGCCAACTAATATCTACTTATTGCACCTGTTCCATGCAGAGTATCCTCACTCAGAGTAAAGGCCTTTACAGATTGGGGAAGTGACAAATATATAAGATGGAAATACGTAATACTCGACTGCATCTTATATGTCGAGGAACACTTCAAAACGGAAGGAGTGGATCTGCTCTGCACTGCCATCGTCAAGGTTTAAACGAGGAGTAAAGTTTATTATTTCCATTTTATTCTACAATGTGATTGGCTGATGCTTTCATTTGCGGTGCAAAAGCTCAGAAAAATCCAACCTTGCAAAATCAGAAATTGTTTTTTTAATATATTTTTTAATATTCACGTTCTGTGTGAATTAATTGTACAAAAAAGCAACATGGTTCTTGTGTGTAAAGGCCTTAAGCCTGTACAGATTGAGCTGATCCATATTCTCTATTATACAGATTGAGCTGATCCATATTCTCTATTATGTCTAACAGTGCAGTTTCAGCCTCTGTGGTTGAAGGTGTGCTGATCATTGGGATGATCGTCCACCTCAGCTAGACAGAAAAAAAAAATCATTCCAAAATGTGCAATGAATAATACAGAAGATACCAAGGATTGTGTATTGCATTCTGATTTGCAGATGAGCCAACAGTGGCAGGCATGATGAAGAATGGAGATGAATCATGGCTGAGGTGGGGGTCTAGTGGAGTGGAGCAGGGCCAACAACCTGGTGCTAAACATCGCTAAGACATTATAACCGTATGATTAACAAGAGCCACCAGAGGCTCCACTTCTTGCTGCAGCTTGAACAGTTTGGTGTGACTGGGGAGGCGATGCTGACGCCATCGACGGAGAGTTGAGAGTTTCAGGTGTTGGACATTTCACCTAAGGAATAGCACACATTCTGAGGCTGTTTGATACCTGAACTCCGACGCACAGGCGCTTGTGGTTGTAGAGCGAGCATCTCCGAGCACTTTACAGAGTAGGTGGTTGTCGGCAGAAAGCAACAAGTACTTGAAAACGAATATGGCAGCAAAAAGCACTAAAGGACTTTATCATATTGTTTGTCTGTCACAAACGTGGAATTTCATTTTGTACTTGGTTTGATTGTCAAGTAGGAATACTGAATGTACATTTTATATATCTGTGTATTCAGTATTTCATCTTAAAATAACCACTGAGGTAAAATGCTTATTTTAAGTGCTGTTTTTTCTTTTTCTCTCTTCACAGGTGTGCACAGGGGGACGTGGTCACACACACAGCATGGCTAAACCGATCAAGTATCCTGTATGCCGGAGAAGACAAATGGTCGGTGGATCCCCGAGTGAGTCTGGTGACCCTTAATCAAGAGGAGTTTACCATCAAGATTGAAAACGTGGACATGACAGATGAGGGGCAGTATGTGTGCGCAGTTCAGACAAGCAGTCGACCTAGAACCACCTCAGTGCACATCCTCGTCCAAGGTAACACATATACAGTACTGCTGCAGCTACTGCTGCTGCTATTCACTACTAAATGATAATCACATTGATTATTGAGTGTAACTGAGTGTTTCTCTATAAAAAAAAATGTATTTTTAAAGATACCAGATACCAGAAGATGTTAAGATCCTTCAGCTAAAATGATGTGTGGAGTTGTGATAAATGTCCTCACAAAGATGCAAGGCACAGTGAGGTGAACACGTAGGATCATGGTTCCGAGAAATGATCTTCTAAAGAAGAGAGGAAGGTCATTTTAGCCAAGTTTGGATTTCTCTGGCTCTGAATTGTCTCTACAAACAGAAATGTAAGAAGAAAGACACATGTTAGTTGAACTAACACCACCTGTGTGTTCAAATGTTCAAAACACGTTGGTGTTAATTGACTTCAGTTGTCTTTTATTTATAACTTCTGGACTCATTAAAATGCTTTTTATTGACTTGTGGATGTAGAAAGGATGAAAAACACTTGTTCTCGTGTTTATAATAGTGCCCACCTAAACTGCTCTATATCTTTTGAAGAAACTGATAACGCTGTTATATTTCATAGCTCCTTACAAACACAATCAGAGCTTGTAAATACAACTGTTGACAGGAACATGCATTTCACATATTACGTTGCACTGTGCATGATTCACCACATATGTGAAATTAAGAAAACTCATCTGAGTTGTCATCGTGACATAATGCAAAAAAAAAAAAAAAAAAAGCAATCTGTGCCTCATTTAAATATAAATTAAAAAACTCCTAGTCTGTTTGACATTCATGAAATGTATGGGCCAGTATCACAACAGTCCCATAGACTGTGTATAAATAGATGCTGGGTACAAAGGACCAGACATTAGTTTAAATGGTGGATGAAACAGATCCATCGATCGATTGTTGTGTTTTCTTAGAAGGCTGTGCCGTCGGTGTATGAATGTGCGGGGCTGTGAATTGGTTTAGGTTCCTGATGGGCAGGTGGCACTTTGCATGTTAGCATGTTAGCCTCTGCCATTGTTATGCCCCTGAAAAATGGGGATTAATAATCACAAGCGTGATGTGGCGCTGTTTCCTCAGCAAGAACTTTACTGCAATGAATTCATACAAAACACAACAATTGACATAGGAAGAGATCCACAGGAGAGTAGAGAGTGCACTTTATTTAAGTTGAAACAGTATTCAAGGTATTACCGACGATATTTCTCACTGTCTCTCATTATACTATCAAGCACAAAAAGAACTAACTAATCTCAGTACTTTTACATAAAACTCTTCAGCACTCACTTAAAATGCATAAAATGTATTATACAGAAAATAAATAAAATATTGCTACTAAATATTACTATCTGTGTACTTGTGAATTCACAAAATGACAGCTACACTTGACACAGCTACAACTACACTGTCAACACGCGGGAACTCACGTACACACACTTCAGTGCTCTTGGCAAAACTCAACTGTAAAGTACCCAACATGTAAGAACAACGTTCTCCTGAAACATCTGACATGTTAGCAGATTCATACCGACATGTTGACTAAAATATGGTGGTTTCCTCTAGCTATGTGGGTGATCAAGACCACTACGTAGATCAAAGTTTAACACTTATATCCTAAATGACACAATAAAGATTAAAGTAAACAATGTAAGAGAAACCCCCATTTTAGTTTTTAGCTACTTAGCAACATGTGATGAATTTGAACTCTTTCATAACTTTATGGTTTAAGTAAATCTACATTACAGTATGTTATTTGTGAATGATCTTTTTAACCACAGATCACAGATTTTAACATAACAGAATTCAACATTTTCTTTAACGTGTAAAAGTGCACATTTTCCAACTTGTCACACCATCAGTGTATAAATATGTGTGAATGGGTGGATGACGACATGTAGTGGTAAAGTGCTTCGAGTGGTCGGAAGCCTAAAAAGGCGCTTTACAAATGCAAGTCAATTTACCATGTTAGAGGTGAAATTCTTGGACCGGCGCAAGATGGACGAAAGCGAAAGCATTTGCCAAGAATGTTTCCATTAATCACGCACGCGCATGTTTTCATTAATCACAATTTGCTTGAACCAATTGAACCATCACAGGGCCACGGACAACGGATTTGAATGAAGCAGTAATCACTGTTAAGCACTGACATGACCCTCATCCCACATCAGAGCTTTTCGGTGCTATGTAGTTCTGTTGCAAAGCAGGGGGTCTGGAGACTCTGCCCAAGGAGAGCAGTTGGCACTGAGGGCTCAACACACGAGTGGGGTTACCCATTATCTCCGCTTCTCATTCCATTACTGATAGTATTTGAACTACCTGCTCTGTCTGTCATTTTCAATTGGATGGAAAACAGGACTCACTGAACACACTGCCAAGAGCCATTCCTAATTCTACTGCAGTTTCTAATGTGTTTCTATGTTTATTTCTTCAAGATTTGCCAATACCATTTTTTCCCCCGATACCAATTCAGATACATAATAAATTAGCTTGAATGCATCATAATATTACTCAATGCAATCTTCCCTACAGCTGTAAGCCAAGCAGGACTGTACTGACCACCTACTGCTAACAGCTAAATGCTAACGTTAGCTCTGCTCCTGCCCATTTCAACACAGATCTGTTGTTCACAATGTAGCATGATCAGGAAAGGTGTGTAGAACTAGTTTGCACATGTGCAGTAGCGATCGGGCAGGATGTATGGATCTGGTAGTGAGTGACTTGTGTACTTGTTCTTGTGTAACGTAAATGAGCTGATAAATGATAAAGGGATGCATAGACTCACATACTCGCTGATATCTGATCCAGCATTGTAGGCTGTATCTGAGGCATCTCTGATATTGGTATCAGTAGCAGAACAACTCTATTTAAGTCATGCACACACATATATACATACATATGAAATGTAGCCGGGAGGTGAGCTCACAAAGGCAGGAGTGAGCGGATGTACATCCCTGCAGGCTTTGTGTGTCTTGCCGTAGAGCATGTTGACTGGTGTGGACACAGGGGTCACTAGTTCAAAGTGAGGCCTCTTTAACAGCTCATTCAGGATGGTGACTTACATTATGTTACGGCTAAGTACAGCCTACTCTTTTCTTTCTTCTTCTGAAAACTTACTTACAGAGCCCTGAAAAATATATGTATTTTTTTCCATCTTTAAACTTATCAGAAAATTTAACCCGGAAACTGGGGAACCGAAGTCTATCACAATTACCGCACTCAGGCATACTTGTAATGATTACTAGTACTTGTGCACTGGAACCCAAAAGCACGACACAGAGACAATGTTACAAGTATAGTTTGATTTACTTGTGTTCAGGCCGGGTTGAAACCGATAGATCAGTCAATCAGGCAAACAAATCCAAAAAGGGGCAGGCAGAGAATGCAAGGTCAAAAACAGGCAGGGTCAGAACAGGCAGATCAGATATTGGAATGAGGATAACACTGGAGCGCTTGGCAATAACACACAAGACAATCTGGCAGGGATCAAGTGCACGTCAACAGGCCTAAATAGTGAGGGACTAATGAGGGAACGGGCTGCTGTGAGATGGGCCTGGAAGACCAGGTGAAGGGATATTTGTGATGCCAGGGTGTGAGTGGCAGGACCTGAAACAGCAGCAGAGTTTGAAAAACAGGCAGACAGGATGAAAACAATCTACAATGAAGAGGAAATTGTGACAATACTAAAGCCTCTGCTGATTATAAATGGAAGTCTATGAATTCCCATCAGTCTCAATGATCCGCCTCAGCATGTGGTCGGACATTGTTTGTGTGACATTAATCAATCAACTTGCGTTCTATCCAATACAACAACACCTTTGTAAAAGTCTTCGTAGGGTTATTTTCATGTACACCTGAGAAGTTGAGAATAAGGAAATGTTAATGCTACTGGTCATTTATCACATGGCATTTAATTCACAAGAACAAAACAGTCAAGGTTATTTGTATTTTTTTGTAATGTAGGCCCATATGCAATATGATTTAATTGTGTTCAAACTAACTAGATCCCTGTACATATGTGTGCGTTGCCGTTTAAAGCCATGAGCTCACTGTGCTGTCAGCACTCTATGCAAAGTCATTATGTTGCTGTAACAGAATGTAAATTACACAGCACCTCTAATAACATGACCAGTGAAACCGGCTTCATAAGCACAGTGGTGTCACGTTTTGTGAAAGAGATAAGCACCTGTTTGTGGTTCTAAAGAGAGCTCATTATATGGAACTGGCTCTCCTCCCCTCCTTTGGCATATTTGATCAGAGGGTCTTGATGGCTCTCCAGCATGAGGTCCCTGGAACCATGCCCCATCACACCGGCTGTGTCTGATTCAGATGGCTTCATCGATTATTTACAACATGTAAGATCTCAGTAGAGAGTTGATCCACAGTAGTTTAGAGAACCTTCAGCTGGAGTGTTTAAAGTCTGATCACAGATTAGTCCTAGACCCTAGCTTTTAGGCAAGGGAACAATAAACATTCTAGGACCTCATTATCTCCACTGGGAGCATCATTCGATCGGCCATGTGTGTATGTGTGTGTGTGTGTGCATGAAAGAGTGAGTGAGTGTGCACCTCTCTGTCTGTCCACAGTTAATCACACATACTGCATACTATTTGACAAATTAAATAGAAGACACAAAATAGGGACACCATATAAAAGGCATCTATGAAATAGAGATAAGAATAAATTAATAAATTCAATGTAATACAGGCAAGTTTTAGCTGCTGGTGTCCATAGTGCAACTACAGTGGACTTGGTCTCAAGCTTTGCAGAAGCATTATGAACCACTTGTAAATGACCCAGTGATGTTTTCGCAAAAAACAGTCAAGACAGATTTTAAAATGTATAGAAGGGATGAAATAAAAGCATGACTAATTATCACATTACACGTATGGTTTTAAAAATAAAAGCAGTTTTCAAATCGTTCTTCCCAACTCGTCACATACGGATGCTTGGTCAGGACCCCTTGGCGTCACATTTTAACGTACGGGTTCCCCTTTGATTTGATTAGAT